GGTTATTTGGTGGGGTGATGGCATAATTCCCCGACACTCAACTTTTGCTGACGAGAATAAACTTGCTTGAGTAACTGCCCCAATGTTGTTCAACTTGCCTCAGTTTGGGTCTATGAAGGAATTTTCCTTGAACGGAAATTGGAAGCAATCATACCATGAGACGAACTCGAGATGGCTTGCCCCAACATAACAAGTCGTGAAAGGAAATTGGAAACAGTTGTACCATGAGATGAACTCGAGATGGCTTGCCCCAGCATTCCACATTGTGAAAGGAAGTTGGAAGCAGTTGTACCATGAGATGAATTCGAGATGGTTTGTTCCAAAACTCCAAGTCATGAAGGGAATTCGGACGCAAATATACCATGAGATGATCTCGAGATGGTTTATTGCAAATTTTAGTCAGGAAAGGGTTTTGACCTTGATTAATTGACCCTTGGGGTAATTGGCTTCAAATTATTCTTGAGGTAGTCTGCTTTAGAATGAGCGTTGAAGTGACATGACTTGTGCTGATTGAGCGTTGGAAAAATACGATCCTCGCGATGGCCGCGGAAAAATACTGTTCGAAACAGAGCCGCCACCGAACTTTATTCATTCCAAGGATGGAATAGGAAAATATCGATAAAACCTTTAAGGAGATAAGAACATGGTCATCGCAACCAATATTCTAGGTTCGGGAGTCGGTTACGCAGAGGGAAGGTATTAGCACCCTCTACGTCCGTTGTACTCAACGGGAACCTCTTGATCGATTCGAGAGTAAAGTTAGCCATGCTTGTTTGTTTTCTTCTAAGGTTTCTCCTATAGGGGGAATGGTTGGTTTTAAGATAGGGTGCTCGCCAAGGATTGGGGCCCTTGTGCCTACGTATCTTCACTTGTAAGAAGTGGAAAATCAGAGCATTCGTAGTTCGTGGGACTACGGGTAAAAAGGGGGGATTGTGCTCGCCAAGATCGTCGCAATCTTGTGCCTACGTATCTTACATTCAGGAGAGAATGAAGAATCAGAGCAGTCGTAGTTCGGCTAACTACGGTAAAAGGTTTGGTATGTGAACGAGTGTTTAGGTCGCATTCTAACTGCTAAACATTGGCTTGTCTGCTCGCTAGGGGAGGCTGAAGCACGAGTTTGTTTTGCGCGGAAGAAGGGACTAAACAATGTTCTTTGAGAAAGTATTCAGGTTGGAGATCGCACGGGGGCGAGGAATTTGTGTTTATCGTGTTGGATGTTTTGGTTTGGGAAGGAGAATGGATCTGAATAGGTTTAAGGTTTCGATTGCACGGGGGAAAGAAAGAGGAGTTTAGTTAGGCAATTTGATGGAGAATGACGACTATTCGATAAACGAGACGTCAGCCTCGCAATCAATTAATCGGGGTATCATTGGAATGCTAGATTCCAACGACACCTTTTTCATTCGACTAAATTCGAAATATGTTTGAGAAAGTTTCAATTGCACGAGGGCGAGAGAAGAGAGTTGGATTTGAATACTTTAAGGAAGAATGACGACTACTCGATAAACGAGACGCCAGTCTCGCAATCGATTAATCAGGATATCATTGGAATACTAGAACCCAATGATACCTTTTTCATTCAATTAATTAGGGAAGTGTATTTGAATGGACAATGGTGGTATTTGTCAAGGTAGTTAGGGCATGTATTTTATATACGAAAAGGTCGAGTAATCCACAACCTAAAGCGTACGCCCCAAGAGTGGTTACTCAAGAATTCAAGGAATGCGGGACTCCAAGAACTCCATTCTTTCGTAATTTAATCAAGAAAATAATTTGGATTTGACGTATGGTTTAGAAACATACTAGGGTTTAGACTCGATCACACGTAGGCGAGGAACGAGGTTATATAGGTTGTATGTTTAGGAGGAATAACGACTACTCGATAAACGAGACGTCGGCCTCGTAATCAAATCAACCGGGACATCATTGGAATGCTAGGTCCCAACGATACCTTTTTCATTCGAAATATGTTTGATGGATAGTTTAGACGCGAAAGAGTTTGAATTGAAAGAGATTTTTGATTCAATCACACGAGGGTGAGAAACGAGGTTATGCGGATTGAAAAATTAGGAGGAACGACGACTACTCGATAAACGAGACGTCGGCCTCGTAATCAATTAGTCGGGATATCGTTGGAATGCTGGATCCCAACGACAATCTTTTTCATCCCATTAATTATGAAATATTGTTTGTTGGACAGTGAATACTTGTCCAAATAATTAAAGGAGGTATTTTAGAAACGAAAGTTTGAACGACACACCATTCAAGGCGTACGCCTCAATAGTAGTCACTCTCGAATTCGAGGAATGCGCGACTCCAGGAACTCGATTATTTCGTGATTTAATTTAGAAAAAATAATTTGAATGGATTAGCGTACTCGGACTAGGCGCGCTAAGTATTCTGGAAATGTAAGATGCAAAGGGGCACGACTCGAGGTGTGCACCTCGAGAGCAGTCGCTTAGAAAATTCAAGGAAGGCGAGATCCAAGAATTTGATTGTTTTAAAATTTGATTAAGAAGATGGTGTAATTTGATTAAGAAAACTAATTTTGATTTTCATATGTAAGAATAAATTAATTAATTGTTTATAAAAAGATTTTGAGAAAAGCTAGTCATATTTGATTGTTTTGAAAAAAGCAAAAAAAGGTTTAATATCTTAGAAAAATATTTTAGCTTTATTAATAAAGTACATATATTTTTTTTATACTTAAAATATTATTATAATTAATTGTTTTGAAAAAAGTTAATATCTTTAAGAAGAAATAAAATATATTTTTTGAAAAGTTTATTATTTAAAAGTATTAATTTGGTAGTGATTTCGTCATATATTTTAAAAGAATAATTTGAGTTGATTTATAAAAATGTCTGAGAGTAATTAAAAACTATTTTTTAAAAATTCAAATAAAATTAAATGAAAAAAGTAATTTGCAAACCGGAAGGCGGAACAACCACAACTCAAGGGCGTGCGCCTCGAGAGCGGTTGTTCAAGAATTCAAGAGGTGCTAGACCTCAAGAACTCACTACTTTCGTGATTTAATTAAGAAAACTAGTTTAATCCAATTAAAAATGTTGCTTATCTTTTGAAAACTTACAAATGACATTCATATTGTCTAAGTAAAAGAAATCTCAATCATTGAAATAGACATGTTAAATTTAAAGAAATCAATTTAAAATATTATACACATAGCAAACCAAATCTTTGGTATAATGGTAGGATAAAAAAACTTAATTGAACAAAGCATGTCTAATTCCAAAGATTCATCAACAAACCAAACTTTGTAGCATAACATATTTATTTCTCAAGATTCATCAAAATTGAAAAAGTCTACATATAATGACTACCGTAAAAATTAAATTCAAGCACCATTGTGAAACAAAATCAATAAGACGACAACAGTACGTAAATGATTCAGTCACGGATACACCAATAGATAGGCAATGAATAATTAGAATTAAGTAACATTAGAACTTCCACAATTTAAATTAATTAGTAACACTGATATAACAACCTATTACTATCAAAGAAATTGATATCAGTATAATTTACAGAACACCAGAATTTAGTGCTGTCAAAAATAGGTCCGGGATTAGGAAAGAAAAGTCACCATGAAATTTCATTCAACAACTACATGGTCTATACCGAGGATAACAAATTATTACAGCAGACAGACATACGCACACGAGATTGATTCGAAACCAAAAAAAAACCAACACACGTTTCAAATAACAGTAATGTTCAGCATCAATAACAATCATCTAAACCCAACACCAAAACAAAAACAGGTAGCAATCATAATGATGTTATCAAACAATTGACAAAATAACAGGATGTAAGCAAGAGATACTAGCTTAGCAGTATCTCTTGAAAATTTCTCAAAATCAAAAGCGTTACCGAAATGATGCCATTAATATTGTAGTTGGATGAGGCTATGATGCTGTGAAGCTGCTGCCGGAATCCTTGCCGAAAATAAGCTCGAAACCTGCTGAATACCTTATCGCTCGAATTGGTGTCTTCGTTCACGTCGTTTGTTGTAGTATGGCAAGTATGAGCTGTTGAGTTGCTTGTCGTGTCGCGGTTGTAGCTTTATACTGCCGAGTCCGACAATTCATCGTCGGTGAAACCATTCCGCGGCTCTCGTTATCATTGTTGTGTCGGCGTCAGAACTCATAACCTTTCACCTGTCAAACACAGAACACGGTTGGATTACAAACAAAACTTGACGCGAATCTCTTCATGACTCAGGCGTTGCAACTGATCTTGCTGCTTAGTTGCTGAAATTTGCAGGTTGTCTCTCGGTGAGATATTTGCCGAAGGTTGTAGAGCCTGAAATCGCTCTCGCTGTCGAGGTGAACTAAGCCGGTTATAGCTGATGAGATGAGCTTTTGCTGAGATGTTGTTGTTGTTACAAATCATAACTGAGTCGCGAGCTGCTTGATGTGTTATAAGGTGTTGCTGAAGTTACAAGACGAAACTCAGTGATGAACTGGACAAAATGTTGAGTTGCTATGTGTCACCGGCGACACTACTGCAGAGTCGAATGAAACTGGATTTGGAATTGCTTGGATGGTGGAGCAAGGTTCAATGTAGCAAGGTTCTCCTCTGGTTTTTTAAGTCGCCTTTGCGTAACCGAAACAATGGCTCTAGTGGCATTAGAATGTAGCAGCAACACAAGCCTTAGAACATCATTCGAATTTGCAGGGCCACACCATCTAAGAACCGCTCAACTTGTTCAAACTCAGAACCATATTGGTAGCTGTCAAACAGAAAACATAGAGACAAACATCATCTAAATCAATAACAAAACAAACAGCAGATGAACTTCCTATATTGCAAACCAAACCGCGTTATTCTTCAACGTATTGCGCGCGATTCCGTAATGCTGCAGTCAACTGAGAGTTCATCACTGCGGTACCATTGTTGAGGCTTTGGAATATTCGCGGTATGTCAGCGCTGCTTCCTCTTATGCAGCGTCAAAGAAATATCCATCCACCCGCCTGATTTTAGAACCTGTCAAACATAAAACATAGTCTGTGTCCTTTCTCTTTCTTGTCATCATCCAATCTAAGCACAATGCAAGAAACTAGCTGGCCAACAGAAAATATACTAGAAAGAAAACTTTCTCCAATCTCGGTTTTGTCATTCAAAATAGGATCTAGTGCATTTGAAGCATTAACAATACCACGTAAACCCCCTGGTAAACTAACTGCAAGATCTTTATTATTTACTTCAGCGACAACTCCCCACAGCTTCATTCCAGGAGTTAAATATTTGAGAGTAACTCTATTCACATGCCGTGACAATTTTCCAGTGATACCAGCACCGAAAAGCAAGCCAAAATCACTTTCAGCGTCTTCACTCTTACTAAACACTTTTTTCTTCTTCTTATTCTTCCACAAATTCTTAGATGGATCTTCATCGCCAAACTTCTCGTAATTATTACTACTTCGCTTCATAGAAAATTCTCCACCTCGGGGAAAGTCGGGAACCTCGTCTTCGAGCTGCAATGCGAGTGATTCTGACTTCACGGAGGCGCCGTTTTGTTCCCGTTTTGGTTTGGATATTTTCTTAGAAGCTTTATCGATTTTAGGCTTGTCGTTGCTCTTATTCTTCTGCGATTTTTCCGAATGCGGTGCCATGGTTTTGTTGTTTCTTAGTTCTTACCTTGTTATGGTAAGAAGTTGGTTTGCGATTCGGTTGAGAGTGAAGGAGATGGTGTTGAACATGTGTGGATTTGGTGAACGAATCAAAGAGAGTAGACGGAGAGAGAGGTTTTTTGATTCTGATTATTTTATTTATGGTGAAAAGCAGCGGTGAAGACAAAGGAGAAGGTGGGTATTTGATTGTTCACGGTGTGAAGAAAATGGAGAGGGCGGAGGGGTGATGGAGTAAACGGGTTTGTGGTGGCAGAATGGAAACTGCGGCGAGAGGTTAGGGTTCCTCCATTGGGACGGCTGATTTTGGGGTTTTTTTTTCAGGGATGAACAGTGCTAAAATTAGGGTTTTGAGATAGAATTGGGGCTGACGGCTAGGGTTACCCCTCAGAATTGGGGGTCTTGTGAACAGTGTAGGTACCTTATTTATCCCAAGAAATCCAACCCTAATCCACCGTGTCCTAAGTAAATTTCAAATTTTCCCCCTTTTTTTTAATATTTTCTTTTAATTTATTTTTTTGAATAATAATTAAGAATCATTCCTAACTCTATTATATTTTTTTAAATCATTATATTAACTATTACTAAAAATTAAACTCTAATCTAATTCTTAATATAAATCCTAATTAAATTCTAACTCAATTTTTTTAATCTATATTTTTTAAAATTAAAATTTCTAAATTATAATTAAGTTCTATCTAATTAAAAAATTTTAAATTTAAATCCTAATTTCTAATTCAAAACTAATTTAAAAAAATAAAAAAAAACATTATATTAACCTATCACGAGAAAAATGAAATTATATATAAAAAAAGATAGATATATATATAAAAAACAAATGCCACGTGGCATACTCTTATTGGGCTAAAAAGCGAAAATGCCTGTTTTTGCTGAAAAATACGCTACGCTGTATAAGCGAGGTAAATTAAAAACAAAGTCGGGCAAATGAGAATTTTAAAAAAAGGTAGGACAAATTTGGGGTATGACAGATGCCCCTATCTAATTGCCTTGAACCTGAGAGAATGAACAGCTGCATGGCGTTCATTTTTAGGGTGGAAGTCAATTAGATACAAAAAGACCCCGAAATTTGTCCGACAAGCAAGTAAAAAATGCAAAGAGATGGGATATACCAGAACGGGATGACAAGATGCAAAATAGATGAACGAGATAACCTGATATTCCCTGGGTGGTCAAAGCAGTCCCTTATCCAATAAGGTTCTTCGTGGTACCAGAGTGGTATAAATGATCCTCTTTGGGTGGTCGAAGCGGCCCCTCATTCGTTAAGGTCCTTCGATGATACCAAAGCGGTACAAACGATCTTCTTTGGGGTGGTCGAAGCGGCCCCTCATTCGTTAAGGTCCTTCGATGAAACCAAAGCGGTATCTCGATTAAAACTTGAGATTCTTCGGGTGGTCGAAGCAGTACCTTATCCATTAAGGCTCTTCAATGATACCAAAGCAGTATCTCGATTAAAACTTGAAACTCTTCGGGTGGTCGAAGCAGTACCTTATCCATTAAGGCTCTTCGATGATACCAAAGCAGTATCTCGATTAAATCTTGGGACTCTTCGGGTAGTCGAAGCAGTACCTTATCCATTAAGGCTCTTCGATGATACCAAAGCAGTATCTCGAACCAAACTTGAGATTCTTCGGGTGGTCGAAGCAGTACCTTATCCATTAAGGCTCTTCGATGATACCAAAGCAGTATCTCGAACAACACTTGAGATTCTTCGGGTGGTCGAAGCAGTACCTTATTCATTAAGGCTCTTCGATGATACCAAAGCAGTATCTCGAACAAAACTTGAGATTCTTCGGGTGGTCGAAGCAGTACCTTATCCATTAAGGCTCTTCGAGGATACCAAAGCAGTATCTCGAACAAAACTTGAGATTCTTCGGGTGGTCGAAGTGGCCCCTCATTCGTTAAGGTCCTTCGATGATACCAAAGCAGTATCTCGAATAAACTTGAGATTCTTCGGGTGGTCGAAGCAGTACCTTATCCATTAAGGCTCTTCGATGATACCAAAGCAGTGTCTCGAATAAACTTGAGATTCTTCGTGTGGTCGAAGCAGTACCTTATCCATTAAGGCTCTTCGATGATACCAAAGCAGTATCTCGAATAAACTTGAGATTCTTCGGGTGGTCGAAGCAGTACCTTACCCATTAAGGCTCTTCGATGATACCAAAGCAGTATCTCGAATAAACTTGAGATTCTTCGGGTGATCGAAGCAGTACCTTATCCATTAAGGCTCTTCGATGATACCAAAGCAGTATCTCGAATAAAACTTGAGATTCTTCGGGTGATCGAAGCAGTACCTTATCCATTAAGGCTCTTCGATGATACCAAAGCAGTATCTCGAATAAACTTGAGATTCTTCGGGTGATTGAAGCAGTACCTTATCCATTAAGGCTCTTCGATGATACCAAAGCAGTATCTCGAATAAACTTTGCTGAGGAATAGTTGAGCTAAAATCCCTATTAGAGGAACAGCGTTGTCCAAACTCTGCAGGGGAGAAATATTCCATAAACTCTCTAAGATAACCTCTGCTTGGGGAGCCACCTGAGTACTAAGTTGCTGGGGATCATCGTCATCAACTGCATGGTTGAAGACTGACTTGCTGAGGAGTAGAATTCCCTGAACTCGTGGGGTAGTAACTCTTTTCAGAGTCATACTGCCAACTTCACTGGAGGACTGACCAAGATGCTTGTGAACTGATTCTGGATCCTGCTATGTTGTTATGCAATGCAATGTTTTATAATGCCCAAACATGCAACTAAGATGCAACTGCTAGGAAGTGCACGATGCGAATGCAAATGATATGTTAATGCTTGATATGATTATGATATGATATTGTATGTCGTGCTTATGATAATGCAGCGACCAGGTATGCTGGGGATGAAATCCTGTCGGGGACATTATCAGGGATTGGATTCAGTAGTCACCAAATGGTTTGGACTTTGGTTATTAAGGATGCCAACGAGGGTGGACTTTTAGTGGTTGCCAATGAAGACTGGACTTTTAGGTTAAATTGAAGGTGCCAATTGGAGTGGCTTTTTGTGGTTGCCAATAAAAGATTGGACTTTAGAATGATTTGCCAGACGAGAACGGGACTTTGAAGGATTTGTTTCGGTTACAAAGCTCTGACAGGTATCAGGTCCAGGCCATGGGGGTGAAACCCAAAGACAGAGAGGCTTTTTCAGGAAGTTAAGCTTATTTTGTGGGGTGATGGCATAATTCCCCGACACTCAACTTTTGCTGACGAGAATAAACTTGCTTGAGTAACTGCCCCAATGTTGTTCAACTTGCCTCAGTTTGGGTCTATGAAGGAATTTTCCTTGAACGGAAATTGGAAGCAATCATACCATGAGACGAACTCGAGATGGCTTGCCCCAACATTCCAAGTCGTGAAAGGAAATTGGAAACAGTTGTACCATGAGATAAACTCGAGATGGCTTGCCCCAGCATTCCACATTGTGAAAGGAAGTTGGAAGCAGTTGTACCATGAGATGAATTCGAGATGGTTTGTTCCAAAACTCCAAGTCATGAAGGGAATTTGGACGCAAATATACCATGAGATGATCTCGAGATGGTTTATTGCAAATTTTAGTCAGGAAAGGGTTTTGACCTTGATTAACTGACCCTTGGGGTAATTGGCTTCAAATTATTCTTGAGGTAGTCTGCTTCAGAATGAGCGTTGAAGTGACATGACTTGTGCTGATTGAGCGTTGGAGGGGCTCTCTGGGTAGCCTGCCCCTTGTTGGATCCTTTGCAGAAGTGGTATACTTGTTCTTGTAAGAACCTTGCTTCTAGATGATATGTCATGATGACTTACAAACATTGAGCGTAGCGACTTATCCAAAGCATGTTGACTGCGCGAGCGTAGCGACTTAACCAATGCGTGTTAATCGTGTGAGCATAGCGATTTAACCAATGCATATGGATTGCGTGAGCGTAGCGACTTAACCAATGCATTTGGATTGTGCGAGTGTAGCGACTTAACCAATGCGTTTGGATTGCGCGAGCGTAGCGACTTAACCAATGCGTTTGGATTGCGCGAGCGTAGCGACTTAACCAATACGTATTAGTTGTGCTTTTGCTCTGCCCCAAGGCCTTTGACGCTTGTTGACCTATACCATCAGCTAGTTTGCCCCAAGTTCAACCCGTTTGCCCCAGTCTGCCGGGTGTTTGATGGACTTTCTTCTGGGATGAGAACTTTGGCGGTGATTATACCAGGATATGGCTTGAACCCCTTTGACCCAGTGTCTGGACCTTGCAGTGGTCCGCCCTGGTTTAAACCTCAGAAGGACTTACCCCAGACTCGTAGGGTTAGGAGAAATTCTTAATTCAGGTCAACACCAATGAGTGATCAAATTCCTCTTTGATTACACTTTGTTGGAGTTTCCATTATGCCAATTACTAATTTGCAATTAAAATCGTTCATTCAAAAATGGTAATTTTAATGCGACATTCATGCCAGTTTGTCGCACCTCGAAAATTCATTTCGAACATACGACCCTCGCGTGAAAGGCGCGGAAATGCGGTTCGACAGAGTCGCCACCGAACTTTATTTTTCCCGAATAAACGGGAGAGGAAAATATCGAGAAAACCTCTTAAAACGAAAGGATAGGAACAGGGCTGTCGCAACCAAGTTCCGGGTTCGGGAGTCGGTTACGTGAGGGGAAGGTATTAGCACCCCTCACGTCCGTCGTACTCGACGGGAACCTCTTAAGGTAATTGTGGGGAGTGTTGTTTAGGTTTACTTGTTTTCTTCTCGTTATTAAAGGTAGAATTGGTAGGGTAAAAGGTTAGAGACGCAAAGGAGAGATGAGTGGTTAGAGGATAGGGTGCTCGCCAAGGATTGGGGCCCTTGTGCCTACGTATGCTCATTCGGACGAGAATGAGAAATCAGAGCATCGTAGTTCGACTACGGGAAGGGTTGGGAATGTGTGGACGAAATAATGGAGGAAGATAGAAGTGTGATCTCCAAG